ATCTGGAGTTGGGCTTCTCTAATATGTAATTATGTATGGGCCAGTGAAATGGGCTAGGTTTACAAGTATATCGAGCACAGTATTTGCTAGCTAGATTTACATCCTCGATATTGCACTTGTCACCAGCTGTCCTCTTATAAAACACTACCAAGTACCAACTTTATTGACCGGATCTGGATTTGGGCGTCTCTAATATGTGTAGGCCAGCAAAATGGGCTGTGTTTACAAGTATGTCGAGCCCTTTTCATTTGGATAAAATGTGAATCTTTATTTATCTTGAAAAATACTAAAGTAGATCATAGCAGCAAAAAAACAACTGCTACCAGAAAGGACAGACTACACAAATATAGTGTCAAAACTAATCCGACCAAAACTAGCTAATGTTTTACAACAATATCAAGCCTTCATTTCCTTGCAATAGCTCCAGGTAAAAGAGACAAGCCTAGTTTAGCAAATTCTAATATCTTGTCCTTAACTTTCAAACTAGATGTTTGCAAGTACTACTGCCTCACTTTTGAATTGTTGTTGGTGAAGTCTTCTGTTTCTTCCCATCCCTATATAGTAGAAGGGTAACATTTTTAAAGTTAGAACTTTAAATTTTTATAGGTGTCGAGACTAATATACATTATTTTTTAATTTTAAATTGTCTAAAAATAATTTTAAATGTATTCTCACCTATAATTTTGTGTAAGGGTTTGTGCTATTTCCTTCTTTGTCTTTAATAGTAAAATTTTTTCTTTTCTGATAAAGTTTTTTAATTTTTATCATTTTTCTAATAAAAAATTAAAAATACTCTTTCAAATGTTTAGGTTTTTTTTTGTTTTTTGTTTTTTTTTTTTACCTTTTGAATTTAATATAAGCATGATTCAATGCCCAAAAAAGGAGATTGTTATTGTGAAAATGATTCTTTATTAAATTACTACTCCCATTCAATTTTAATAGTTTTATTTTAATTTTAATTAAATATTTTTATCTAATTAAAAAATTTTAATTATTATTTATATAAATTTTTAAATTTTCATCTGAATTTATGTACAACAAATGAAAAAATTAAATTAAAATTACTAAGTTGAACGGAGTAACTAATTACATGCAAATATAACCATGACTAGCATTTTTAAAAAAAATTTCTTTTTTTTTT